AAAAAAAAAAAAAAAAAAGAACCAAGAAGCAAAAATTGATAGAACTGGCTGGGCACAGTGGCTTGCATCTGTAATCCTAGCACTTTAAGAAGCTAAGGCAGGAGTTTGGCACCAGCCTGAGCAAGAGTGAGACCCTATCTCTACTAAAAACAGAAAAAATACCAGCCAGGTGTGGTGGCAGGCACCTGTAGTCCCAGCTATTTGGGAGGCTGAGGCAGAAGGATCACTTGAACCCAAGAGTTTGAGGTTGATGTGAGCTAGGCTGAGGATATGACATTCTAGCCTGGGCAACAGACTGAGACTCTGTCTCAAAAAGAAGATATTACTGAAAGAAAAATAAATTCACAATTACAGTTGGTCATTTCAGTACTCTTCTCTCAGTAACTGACAGAATAAGTAAACAGAAAACCTGTAAGGATCCAGAAGAATAAACCACACTATCCTGAAGATGTGGTTTACAGTTGGTGTGGTTTACACACTATTCTTCTGGTTTCCTGACTCATTTAAATTGACAGAAGATGTCACTACTAATTGTGCAATATTTATTCAAGAGCACATAAAACAGTCAACAAGATAGATCATTCCCTTGGCCATAAAACAAACCACAACAAATCTGAAAGTATAGGCCAGGCACAGTGGCTCAAGCCTGTAATCCTAGCATTCTAGGAGTCTGAGGCAGGAGGCTTGTTTGAGGCCAGGGGATGGAGACCAGCCTAAGCAAAAATGAGGCCCTATCTCTACAAAAAATAGAAAAATTAGCCAGGCATTGTGGTGGGTGCCTCTAGTCCCAGCTATTTGGAAGACTTAGGCAGGAGAATCACTTGAGCCTAGGAGTTTGAAGTTGTAGTGAGCTGTGATGACACTACTACACTCTGGCCCAGAGGACAAAACAAGACTCTCTCTCTCAAAAAAAAAAAAAGGAAAAATGTGTAACAGAGTATATACTTTGACCAAGTCAGAATTAATCTATAAATCAATAATAGAAAGTGAATAGTAATGAAAATTAGAAGTCTTCAATTAATGGGTTCTGTTTCCACCTTATAACCCCCCAAAGCAATTAAACTCAGAGCATGTATAAGGAATTAATAGAGCAGAAATCAATATAACTGAAAATAAAGAAATCCAGTTAAACTAAAAGCTGATTATTTGAAAAGATTAATACTGATTAAACCTCCAACCAAACTGGCCAAGAAAAAAGACAAAGTAACCCACATCTAGAATGATCCAAGAAACATTATTACAGATACTACAGACATTACAAAGAGTTACTATAACTAGGAAGACTCAATATCATAAAGATGGCCGTTGCCCCTAATTTAATCCAACCATCACTCACATCATAGTAAAAAGACCATATTTTTAAACCACTCTAAAGTCACGAATCACTTAATGTCAAAGATACGTTTTTGGAAATATATCATTAGGCCATACCCTTGTGTGAACATCATAGAATGTACTTCCATAACATAAACGTATAACCTACTACACACTATGCAATATTTCTATTGCTCCTAGGTACAGACCATGTTACTGTATTGAATACTATCGACAGCGGCAAGACAATGGTAGGCATCTGTGCTTCTAAACAGAAAAGGTGCAGTAAAAATATGGGACTATCTTACGGAATCATCATTGTATATGTATATAAGGTTTATTATTGATGGAAACATTGTAAGGTTGCGGCGCATGCCTGTGCCAGAATCACGAACTTTTGTATAATCTGTAAGCCGTGAAGTCTTTTAGATCCCATAAAAGGAAAGAGCAGTAAATTCAATCACGGAGAAATTAAAAACCTGTGCATGGCAAAAAGTACCAGCACCAGCCGGCTGTGAGACCTTGGATAAATCACTTCCCCTTCCTGAGCTTCCCTTTCTCTTCAGTTGATACTGAGATGATAATGAGGGCAGACACAGGACAGACGTGAGGAAGAGAAGACTGTCACACTGGACACACTGTGACAAAGAGCTCTCTCCCAGTGGGACGTCGAGCGCAACTAGAACCTGCAGACTTCCAGTCCTCCCACCGCCCCGCCAGGCCCACGACGCAGCCCGCCGCATCCGGGGCGTGGCCAAGCGTGCCCGGCTCCGCCCTCACCCCTCCGCGCCGGGGTCTGGTGGGCGCGCGCCCGCCGGGGCTTCCGGACTCGCTCCCGCGCGGCCCGAGACCCTCGCCGCCCCTCTGAGGCGCGGCTCCTGACAAAGGGAGAAAGGCGAGCCCCCCCTGCAGCCCTCCTCTCTGCCGTCTCCGCCCACAGACGTTCCGCCGGGCAGGCCCGGCCAGCCCCACTCCAAGGAGGGCACCGCGCGTCCCCAAATGCTGCCCCGAGGGTCACGGCCGCCTGCGAGTCGCCGAAGTTTGGGCTCCCTCTCCGCGCGCGCTTGAGCCCATCCTTATCTCCTTCCCCTCCGCCCCCAGGCCGAGCGAAGCTACCTGGCAGCCCCCTCTCTTACCTGGAGGGGCACAGTTCCCACTCGTGGTTCAGTGCCACGCCCGGTCACGGCGCGGAGCGGTGTAGACGCGCGGAGACGGGTTCTGTCACCCACTCGCAGCTTAAGTGGGGGAAGGGCGGCCACGGGCAAGCTCGTAGCATTGCACATGCGCAGACACAGGGGCTGCTCGCCGTTCCCAGGGTCCTCTGAGCGGTGGTCCGTGGAGCTTCGGGACTACACTTCCCATAAGCCTGCGGGGCAGTGCCATTAGGGACTCTAAGGAAAAGTCTAGGACTCGACTCGTTTGGAGGGTCGGGTGAGCGCTGTCCAAGAGGTTCCTTTCTCCCGCTGCCTCTCCTCAAAGTACAAAAACTTGGCCTTTAAAGATCACACGTGTAACCTATGAACACGGTATTTAAATTAGAAAATATGCACAAAATAAAAGAAGCAAGCAGGTATCACGAATTTCACTTTTCAAAGATTAACTGTAACATTAAATCCACACCTTTCTGGTATTTTTTTTTTTTTTTACAAGACTGGCCATGAGGATACCATGTGCTGCAACTACTTTTTTCCTTTTTGTTTTTTCCTCCCCAGCTTTATTGAGGTATGCTTGATTATTATAAAAATTGCATATATTTAAAGGTGTACAACTCAATGACTTGATTATGTATACATTGTGAAGCATACACCATGGTTAGGGTGTTCCGATCACGACAGCAGCAAGGAATTTGCCTAGGCAGACATTCGGATAATAAAAGTACAAGTTTACTTTATATTTTAGAAGAAGAAAGGGGAGAAGAGAGAAGGGAGATGGCCTGGTATCCCGAAGAAAGAAAGGAAGAATGCCCTCCCTGAGATCCAGGGTAGTGGAATTTAAGTGAGACAAAAATAATAATAATAATAATTTCTTTATTATTTCACTATAAACGCTGGCAATTCTTTTTTTTTTTTTTTTTAAGAGATAGAGTCTCACTTTGTTGCCCTCGGTAGAGTGCTGTAGCGTCACAGCTCACAGCAACCTCCAGCTCTTGGTCTTAGGCGATTCTCTTGCCTCAGCCTCGGGAGTAACTGGGACTACAGGCGCCTGCAACAACGCCGGGCTATTATTTTGTTGCAGTTTAGCCAGGCCAGTTTGGACCTACCAACCTCGGTATACGGGGCTGGCACCCTACTCACTGAGCCACAGGCATCGCCCAGACAGGCCATTCTTTTTTTTTGAGGCAGAGCCTCAAGCTGTCCCCCCGGGTAGAGTGCTGTGACATCACAGCTCACAGCAACCTCCAACTCCTGGGCTCAAGGGAGTCTCCTGCCTCAGCCTCCCAGGTAGCTGGGACCACAGGCACCTGCCACAACGCCCAGCTATTTTTTTTGCTTGCAGCCGTTGTTATTTTGGTGGCCCTGGGCTGGATTCGAACCAACCACCTTAGGTGTATGTGGCTGGCGCCTTAGCCACTTGAGCCACAGGTGCCAAGCCAAAAGGCCATTCTTATAAGCATAATCAAGCTAATTAACATATCCATCACCTCACATTACAGTTAACGTTTTTTGTGTGTGTTCAAGTTTGTGCTGTTGTTAACTATTGTCATATGGTACATTAGCTCTCCAGAACTTATCCGGCTCGTGTAACTGAGACTCGATACCCCTTGACTACCATGTCCCCATTTCCCCTTCACCCACAGTTCCTTATTTTTAGAGCAATTTCAGGCTCACAGCAAACTTTGAACAGAAAGTGCAATGAACTCCCATATAACCCTTGCCCCTATACACATGTATAGCTTCCTCCCATCAACACGCCACACCAGAGTGGTACTTTTGTTACAACTGATGAACCCATATTGACACATTAGCTCTCAAAGTCCATAGCTTACCCTAGGGTTTACTGTTGGTATTGTACATTCTATGGGTTTTGACAAATGCATGTATCCACCATTAAGGTATTATACAGAATAGTTTTACTGCCCTCAAAATCCTCTGAGCTTCCTTAGTCATCCCTGTCTCCCCCAAACCCTGGAAATCTTTGATCTTTTCACTGTCTCCATAGTTTTGTTTTTTCCAGAGTGGTAAAAATATAGTTGGAATCATACAGCAAATAGCCTTTTCAGATCAGCTTACACTTAGTAATAAGCATTTAGACTACATGTCTTTTAGTGGTGTGATAGCTCATTTCTTTATAGTACTGCATGGTATTCCCCTGTCTGGATGTACCACGGGTTCTTTAAATCATTCACTTACTGAAGGATATCTTGGTTGCTTCCAAGTTTTGGCAACTATGAATAAAGCTACTCTAAACATCTGTGTGGGCTCGGCGCCTATAGCTCAACCGGCTAAGGCGCCAGCCACGTACACCTAAGGTGGCGGGTTCGAATCCCCAGCCCGGACCCGCCAAACAACAATGATGGCTGCAACCAAAAAAAATAGCCAGGCGTTGTGGCGGGTGCCTGTGGTCCCAGCTACTTGGGAGGCGGAGGCAGGAGACTCGCTTGAGCCCAGGAGTTGGAGGTTGCTGTGAGCTGTAATGCCACGGCACTCTGCCCAGGGGGACAGCTTGAGGCTCTGTCTCAAAAAAAAAAAAAAAAAAAAAAAAACATCTGTGTGTAGGTTTTTGTGTGAACGTTCAAGTATCCAGCTCCTTTGGGTAAATAGCATGATTGCTGGATTGTGCAATAAGAGGATGTTTAGTTTGGTAAGAAACTGCCAAACTGTGTTCCAGAGTGGCTATACCTTTTTGCATCTCCACCAACAATAAGGAAGAGTTCCTGTTGCTCCAAATTCTCACCAACATTTGGTGGTGTCAGTGTTTTGGATTTTTAGCCATTCTAATAGTTTTGTTGTGGTAGCAACTAATTTAAATTTTAATTAAAGCAATAGTCTCAAACAGGTTTATAGATAATGTGTTTTCACCAATGTTCATAGCAGCACCATTCACAGTATTCAAAGGTGGAAACAACCCAAGTGTCCACCAATTGATAAACGGATAAACAACTGTGGCATATGTGAGAGTGTATGCAGTGAGAATAAGATGGAGTCAGTCAGGCCAGGGCTGAGACGACACAGCTGGTCCGGTCCGTTTAGCTCCTACGTGACCTTTACCTCATGCCTGTCATTCCTTCTGTTTTTTAAATTCAGGTTTAACCTAAAAGTGTATATCTTGAGTAGTTAAGGGCAATTGTTTTAGAATATTAACTTTTGGTTTTTGTGTCACCCTTGGTAGAGTGCCGTGGCATCATAGCTTACAGCAATCTCAAACTCCTGGGCTCAAGCGATTCTCTTGCCCCAGCCTCCCAAGTAGCTGGGACTAGAGGGGCCTGCCACCACGCTTGGCTACTTTTTAGAGATGGGGTCTCGCTCTTGCTCAGGCTGGTCTCAAACTCCTGAGCTCAAGCAATCCACCTGCCTCAGCCTCTCAGAGTGCTGGAATTACAGGCATGAACCACTGTGCCCAGCCTAAGATTAACTTTTGAATTGGAATGTTGTTTTGGGTCATGGGTTATGTTGATAATTGCTTTTTTGTTTTAGAGACAGAGCCTCAAGCTGTCCCCCTGGGTAGAGTACTGTTGCATCATAGCTCACAGCAACCTCCAATTCCTGGGCTCAAGTGATTCTCCTGCTTCTGCCTCCCAAGTAGCTGAGACTACAGGTGCCCACCACAACACCTGGCTGTTTTTTTTTGTTGTTGCAGCCATCGTTGTTTGGTGGGCTCAGGCTGGATTCAAACCCACCAGCTGAGATGTATGTGGCTGGCACCTTAGCCACTTGAGCCACAGGCGACGAGCCTGATTATTGCTTTTTATAGGTCATGAGTTATGCCAATTATTGTTTTTTAAGATAAAGGTTAACAGGGCTTTTGCTTTGAACTTTGATCTTTGCTTTGAACCACACTTTTAGAAATGGAAAAACAGAACAGTCTTGGAGAGGCTCCTCTCACTGTTTTCCAGAATTGTTGGCTTTCTGGCAAAGTTTGGTGGACCTGTCCCCGTCTCTGCCTGTTGGCTGACAGTGACAGGCGGCTGGACTCTCCTTGTCCAGTAACATATACATACTATGTACAATGGATATTATTCAGAACGAAATAATGAAGTTCTAATACATGCTACAACATGAAAGAACCTTGAAAATATGGTAATAGGGTGGCGCCTGTGGCTCAGTGAGTAGGGCACTGGTCCCATATACCGAGGGTGGTGGGTTCAAACCCAGCCCCAGCCAAAATGCAGCAAAAAGAAAAGAAAATATGCTAATAAACCAGACACAAAAGGACAAATGTTACATGATTTCACTTATTTGAAGTACCTAGAATAGGCAAATTCATAGAGACGCAAAGGGAAAGAGAGGTTACCAGGACTAGCAGAAGAAGGGATAGGGACTAGTGCTTAAGAGGGTACAGAGTTTCTGTTTGAGATGATGAAAAGTTCCAGAAAGAGATAATGGTGACGGTTATACAATGTTGTGGATGTGTTTAATGCCATCAAATTGTATGCTTTGCTTTTTAATTTTTATTATTTTTATGTTTTTAGAGACGGACTCTCAGCCTGTTGACTAGCCTGGAGTGCACTGGAGCAATTATAGCCCACTGCAACTTTGCACTTCTGGGTTCAAACAATTCTTTTTTTTTTGAGACAGAACCTCAAGCTATCCCCCGGGGCAGAGTGCTGTGGCATCACAGCTCATAGCAACCTCCAACTCCTGGGCTCAAGCGAGTCTCTTGCCTCAGCCTCCCAAGTAGCTGGGACCACAGGCACGTGCCACAACGCTGGGATATTTTTTGGTTGCAGCCGTCATTGTTGTTTTGGTGGGCCTGGGCTAGATTTGAACCCACCACCTTAGGTGTATGTGG